TTCAGTTGCTTGCAATTTTAGGTTGGCAAATAAAAAATTGATTGTTTGTCAGCAAGGGGTCAATATATCGATTTTGACAGGATAATTCATCGGCTAAAATAAAAGGGAATGTTCTTACACAGCGAGGCGTAGAAAGTTGATTATAGCTAGAATCGACATGTATGTAACGATATTGTGATCTGTAATGTATTTTTGTATGCTTGTCGATGAAACGTTGCAGAGTACCCGTATTTCATGGCCTTTGCGTCTGTAATGAAGAATTCATTAAGTTGATATTTCATTATTACGTTAGCAAAATCAATTCGGAGGCCATATTCGTTAACAAATCATTAACGTGTTTGCATCAAGTTAAATCTAAGTATGCTAGCTTCTGGAACGAATTCTCATTTCGAGTTTTCTGCGCCAAAGAAATGGCGAAGCAGCTTCTATGCGTACTAATTTAGGAGCGTGAGAAAATGTTAAGTTATCCAAATCTAACAAAAGAAACCTGAAGAATTAGTAAACAAGGCGATTAGTTCATATACATTACTTGAGATAAATCATACAAAGTCATGCATTTGGTCACATTATTTCGATATAATGAATGGAATTTATCTTCATAAAGCCATTTACTAAGGAGAATTGCTGTTTTAATTCAGTATATTTAGGGGCAAAAGCATTGTCTAGTGAAATCAAAGGTTACCTGATATCGAAAACAATTACTCTGCAATTTAATACGACAGACGCAAACCTTTCATTTTTATGCGTAGCATACACCGGGTAATCTGCCGAACAAATTCCGGTGAGTAATAGGCATGTGATGCATTTAAAGTTTTTACTCCCTAAATTGTTTTTGCACGTCAGTACTGGTCTCAGTACCGGAGGCCTGAGTTAATTTCTTAGAACCCTTTGAATGATTGAAGCGGTGGAGGATGGGTGCTCTCGCAATAGACAGTTCGGACGGGAACCACTTGCAAAGTCGTTTGCTCATAACAGCTATTGATATTCATACGAATCAGAGGACATTTAATGCAGAGGCGAACCTTATTAGTGCGACGTGCGTGTAGTCCATTATAAATATTTTTTTTGCAAGCAGTTGGCGGTTAAAAAGTCCTTCTTCTGGTCCCTCTTCTACGCGAAGCGCCGTGGACATCTTCAACTTATGTGCGGAAAAAGTTACTCGCAACGGCTGCGGGAAATAAATTCGACTACATTTTTCTACTCTTCACTCATTTCTACAAATTTTCTTCACAG